AAAGAAGAAAAATAATTCTTCAAAGCATAAAAATTTGCTCCTTAATAATTAGTAGATGTGAAAAACATTACTATTGAAATCAACCTGATGACTTTATATCCATGCTCATATGCCAAGGAGCTCAGAAAGTAACCAACTGTAATAATAATCAGATATAAAGAGATTAGACATGCATGTGCAAACATCTTAATGTCAGTTGCATTAAAATGAATTTTTTGTATGAAAATGTATATTTTAATAATGAAATGGAGATCTTTTTTAAAGGTTAAAACCTCATTTAATTTTATGTCTTACAGGGTTTATACTGAGTACAATATTGTATAACTGTATTAATTCAACTGTAAACCTAAAAATTTACAGCCAATTTTGAAAGAGATGCATCTTAGCTCTGGAAATTGTTATTGAATACGTCAATGCTGTTGTAATGAAATGCTTTTTCTAAGTATGTGGTTATTAAATAAATAATTAAAAAAATAAAAAAGGCATAGTAAAAAAATAGACTCAGGAAGGGCAAAATATTCTTTCCAATCAAGACTATTAACAAGGATTACTTACTATTTATTAAAAGTTTTGCTATATATCAAGAACTTTGTAGGTCTTGAGTTCAGTCACACAGTTAAGAATAGTTTACAGGACCAAGGTGTACCTTAGAGATGAAATTCTGTATTTATTATTTGCTAGATTTCTCATCATCGTTTCTCTCTTCTTTTTTGCCCCCTGAGCCGGGGAGGAAAACTTTGTGGAAACTCTCTAAAACTGAAAAGACACATGACTCTAATCAGTGAAATCATCTTTTATTTTTTTACTGTGAAACTGGGTAAATGGAGATGGATGGGAATAAATCGCACGTTGCGCTGGTGTTCATGGATCAGGTCTTCTGCTTTTAGAAGCAATTCTTTCCTATTATTTCATTAAATATCACTTGCCTTGGAAGAAGACACATGACCTTTCCCTTTCTATTCTGGGCTCATTTGGAAATGCTTCTTTTATCCATAATATCACCAGTTACCAGAAAACGAGTTTGCTTGATGCTTGGGCATCTCCATCTGTCATGGAAATAGTATCCATATACTCATTACTATTTTTTCCCTCCTAAAGTGATAGGTAGGTGCCTGGTATTGCAAAATAGTAGCATAACACTTTGAGTACAGAATAAAAATAAAGGAAATTTATTTCCACCTGCTGTTTCCATTCTTCTCTATCTCTAAGACATCTGTCCTAGGATGCTGTTGTCATGGTCATTTTCTTCTTTATCTCTCACAGTATCGGGATGCCCTTTATAAGTTCATGGTGGACACTGCTGTGCTTTTAGGTGCGAATCGCTCCAGAGCTGAGCATGACATGAAGTCGGTGGTTAGATTGGAAATTAAGATAGCTGAGGTAAGTTTTAGTTGAAAATTTCTCTTTTGCCCATTCCCTTCTTTGTCTTATTTTATAAGCAATAGGTCCCAAATGGAAATATAAATTGCAACCAAATGACAATCTTCTGTGTCATTGCCTTTTGCGTTCAAGGTAGAAGTAATAGCATCTACCTCTGTGGTCTAAGCCTATTCAATGTCCATGTGCTTCCCTACTGTGGCCAAAAAAATACCAACAAGGAAACCTGTTTTCCAAGAAAAAGTGTGGTATGGCTTAAATAGAAAGCATATATTTAATACATGTTGTAGTGCTGGGGGTTGAACCCAGGGCCTCACACATACTAAGTGTATACAGTACCACTAGGCTAAACTCCCAGTCTGGGAAAGTAATTTCTAATCCAGACTCCTTCTTTACATCATTCGACTCAGAGTAAGTCTGATATAAAATTTGAACTCAGAGAAGTTTGTCTTCTAAACCTGGATATAAAGTTTGATTCACAAAGTGTATAGGGAATACGGGTAAGTATTTTAAACCTGCCTTTCTGGTGTTACTTTGTGCCTGCCATTGTTTTAGTTTTGCATTCTTTTTTTTTTTTTTTTGTATTGCTTTAATGAGTGTCATTGTGTCATATACTATGTTCTGAGTAAGTCACCTTAAATTCTTTTTGGCTCATGATAGAGATGAAAAATGTGAAAACCAATGTTTTTGTTGGATAGCAGTAAGAAATCATAAATGGTTAGCTTTGTTTATAGAATAACTTTTCAAGAAGAGCCAATGTATAAAATCCCTAAATATTCTCACCCAAGAGATAACAAATACAGTGACATTTGCTTGTGGGTAGAACTTGTAGTGAAAAAAAAAACCTACTTGATTCAAGAAACTCTGGTATGTGAGTTGGTGATTCTTTAAAAATTATTTTTATTTTATGTGTCTGAGTGTATTGCCTGCATGTGTGTAAGTGCATGCATGTCACATAATGCCTGCGGAGTCAGAAGAGGGTGTTTGACTCCCCAGTTCTGGAGTTTTGGATGGTTTATAGTCTCCATGTGGGTGCAGGGAATTGGACCTGAGTCCTCTGCAAGAGCAGCTGGTGCTCTATGCTGAGCCATCTCTCTAGCCCTGGTTGGTGATTTTTTTTTTTTTAACTAATGGAAGTTGGTTCAAGTATTTATTGGTTTTGTATTTGGTAAAAATCAATGGTAGTATGTTGAGATATGGAGTAGGGATGATGAGTAGAGTTGGGAAATTAGGCTCTGTTCCTGCAGTGATGATGTTCACATCATCATCATGTCCATATCTTTCTCCAAATTCTTACGTATAACACAAAAGGTTCATTCATAGGGGTGAGAAAGAAGACTCAGTGGGTAAAACACTTGCAATGCAAAGCATGAAGATTTGTGTTTGAGCCCTCAGAGCCCACATAAAACCAGGAGTGGTATTGCATGTCTGTAATCTCAGTGCTTTTACGGCAAGATGTAAGGCAGAAACAGGAGAATCCTGGAAAGCTCATGGGCCAGGTAGCCTGGTGTACTCAGTGCAGTGGCAGATAATAAAGATTCTATGTCAAAGTGGAGGGTGAATACCAATGTCCCAGATTTTCTTCTGACTTCCACACATATGCTGTGGCCCATGTGTGATCCTTCACACACACACACACACACACACACACACACACACACACACAATTCATTCCTGAAACTCTTATGAAGTCTTTTTCCACTCTAAGGCATATAATAGTATCCTTTTCTTTAGACTACCCCCCCTACTTAAATCTATATTAAAACAATTTATTAATAAACTCTAACTTCACTTCAAAAATTCATTCCTGCATGTCACCTTTGAAGATTTGAAGACTGCTGCAAATATGCCTACAAACCATGTCTATGGGCTGTCTGGATTCCCTTCCCAAGCAAATAGGAGGCCCAGAGTACTAGTTTGGACTAAAGGTGTAATACAGCATAGAAGGCCTTGCCTTGAGCCAGAGAATTAGACCAGAAAGGAATATAAAAAACAGCTGTGCTGAGGGCAAGACTGGGAATTGCCAAGAGGCTAAATGAAGTGACAAATTCATTGTGTGGAGGAGAGTAGCTGGCAGAGAGCTGAAAACAGCTTTGAGGCCAAAGGGCTCCAACATGGGCCTGGAGCTTGAGTTGAGGGAGGAGAGGGAAGAATAAAGGGAGGAGAACAGGGGGAGGGAGAGGGAGAAGCATGTAGACATCCTCTGAGGCAATAATTAATGATTCACACATAGCCAGGAAGCTGTAATATACGTATTACCTCTCCTGTGGAGGGTGAGGAGGGAGAACTTAAGGTGCCGAACTGCTTGTAAGAGAGGGGTAGGTTCCTTCCTCCCAGCTCTTGGTGATTTTGCCTTGAAATACCTGTGATGTATGGATATGGGGCCTAGTATGGATATTCCCTTCATTCTCTTAGTCTTCGGCTGATAAGGCACATCCAAAATTAGTTAGATACATATTCTTAGGGAGGCTTATGAGGCTGAGGAGGTGGAGAAACCCCGTCAAGTCTAAATAAGTAATGATAGCCATAAAGTGTGCATTTATCCAATCCCTGCCTGGGAGAAATGCTGTCTATGGAGTGGCCCTGGTGATTGGAACCAAGTGAAGTTTAGTTGCAAATGCTTGCTAAAGTCTATGAATTTTTTTTTAAAAAATTATTTACTTATTTTTATTTTATGTGTATGCATGTATTGCCTGCATTTAGATAAGTGCATCCATGTCATGCAATGCCCGTGGAGGTCAGAAGAGGCTGTCCGATCCCCTAGGACTGCAGTTATGGACAGTTGTTAGCTGCCATGTGGGTGCTGGGATTCAAACCCAGGTCTTCTGCAAGAACAACCAGTGTTCTTAACCGCTGAGACATCTCTCAAGCCCCCTAAAGTATATAAATTTTAAGCAAAAATTTTTTGGTGGGGACAGAGTATCTCTGTAGCCCCATATGGTCCAGAACTTGCTATGCAGACCAGGCTGGCCTCACCCTCACAGAGATCCAACTTCCTCTGCCTTTGAAGTGCTGGGATTAAAGGCATGAGCTACCACACCTGATTTTAAAATTTTAAATCAGTTTAAACCAAGGACATGATGATGATGGATAGGAGCTGTGAGGGTAGGTTAGTTATATGTGATATAAAGAATGACAAGTTAAATGCAAAGGAATAGAAAGATTAGAAAGTCTTAATGGAAAATGATGATGTAGGTAGGGGAGCTGTAGTCTTTCAGTGATAGTCATTAAGATGACCCTTGAGGAAGATAGTTATTGTTGTGGTTCTTAAATTAGATTAAACATGGCAGAGGCTAGCATCTTCTGAAATGCTTGTCTAGATGGTAATTGATTCCATATCTTCAGCAGTTGTACTAAGGGAATCTGAAGGTCAAAGAAATAAGATGGACAGATAAAGGAATCAATTGTTGATAAAATGATTATGGGTACCAGTACTGTACACATAGTTTCATTTTTGTCACTGAACATTCTCCCGTAGAGGTAAAGGTGTTGAGATAATTGTCATTAGACTATAGCTGAATATGAAATGTTTACCTTACTTGTGTGACTTCAGCTTGGTTGTAAAAACAGAGCCAGCCGAGGTGTTCAGCTGTTTCATTCATTCAGGTGTTTATACCCAAATGTCCTTCAGTGTAAGTGCATACACTGGCACCTAGTCAGCCCAGGTTGTATGTAAGTCATACTCTCCCTCATCCAGCAGCCAGTCTCAAATAGTTCTCAATATAAGGGGAGGCATGGATGGTGAGGGGGGTCTGGATTTGAGTGGGAAATGTATGAAATTTTAAAAGCGCTCTCTCTCTCTCTCTCTCTCT